GGATGGGGCCCTATCCCTGGGGCAGAAGCATCTTGACTGATTTAGGGCATGTTGGGGTTGCAAAAATGCCTTGTTCGCCCCATCCAGGAGCAGCTCTGGCATTGCGGACCCCCTCGCTACAGGGCCGGGCTCTGTTTCGATGCGTTTTGGGGGTGCACGACCCTCCTCGAGGCAGGGGATGGAGGGGAGCGCTCTYCCCCCGGGACACGAGGCCGCGGGCGCGAGCGCAGGAACCCTGCCGTCCGCAAGGGAAACCCAATTAGCCGGCGCACCCTGACAAAAGTAGAGCTGAGCCTTTTAGCAAGGAGCAGCTAATCTTCTTTAAGGAAGAAAACTAAGCGGGGGCGAAGCGCTGGCTGCCGAGTTGGTGCGGGGCCGTTGGATATCTCTAAAGCCACTTACAGGTTCAAAGAGTGAACAAGGCCATTGCCAGCCTTGTTATTTTGATTTGTTTTAATGAAAATACTCTGCTCATTCCATAGATGTCATGCTTCGATAAGGTAATTGTGCAAGGGCCCAGCTTACATCCTCTTAATGCTGCTCGCTGGGCAAATTAAGCCTGACCCAGTGGAGAGGCAGACTCGAGGAGCGCTGGGGAGCCTCTTGCTTGGTCTCCTGATGCGGAGCGGAGGGGCAGTTTTGAACCCCAAATCCTTGGGTTTACATCTTGCTCTCCGTTGGGAAAGGCCCTGGGAGTAGCTGGAGGAGCTGCCCGCTCTGAGCGAGCTGCAGGAGCGCCCTGCGTTCACAAACGACATGTAGGAGGTTCCTTTAGAAACAGCCTGGACAGAGAAACGCTCCTTTCCTCCTTCCAGCTTTGGGTCTTGGAAGAAGCGCCGTGCTCTGTGTGCCTGGGACCACTTCCCCTCCAGCGCTGAGGAGCAGCCCCGGCAAACAAGCAGAGCCTTGTTCCCCCGCGGACACCGGGCCRGCATCGCGGTCCCCATACGAGCAAAGAGGGAACCGGGCGGCAGGGCCCAACCTGCCTCTCCTCTGGCCTTGTCACCTTCTCCCCATCCAGCTGGGACACAATCCGCATTGTCCTTGTGGATGTGGCCTCCTGGAGCTCTGCTGCTCTGCCCAAGGAGCTCGGTGGGACCTTGGGACACCTGGGGCTCTTCTGGAGCTGGGATATGCAGCTGCCTTCTGGGTCCTGGTGCAGGACACCTCAGGAGAGAGGACTTCTTCCCAAGGAGGTCCAGGGAGCCACAAGGAGCTCAAGTGAGAGCTGGACCAGGCACCAAATACCCGCTCTGCGACTCCGTCCTCTCCCCTTGGCTGCTTTAGCKTGCGAGCAATTTTATTTGCGTGAAGCATCTGCCTATCTCAACTTTGCTTCCCTGGACGTGGCAAGGAGCTGCCCAGGAGTCCTCTGGTGGCTTTTTCCAGCTTGAAAACCCATGTTTCAATAAGCAGCCTGCCTGGTCGCATGCACCCCTGCTCCCCTTCCTGGATTCTCTCAGAAAACAAACACTTTGGGCTCAATGTGGTGCTCTTGCTCTCTCTCTGTTTTTTCCTACACCTCCCCCCACCAATTTAAAAGAAAAAAAAAAAATGCCGAAGTCCCGCAGAAATATTTTTTGCAGTCCTCGGTTTTCAAGGTGGATTTATCACCCTTTAAAGAGAGATTTATTGGATAATCGCTTAAAAAAATAATGCTTATTACTCCGGGATCTCAAATGGAAAACCTTCCCACATTAGTAATCTTCTTGTAATTGCAGAAGGTAGCAACTTTTCATTAAATAATTCATCCCCAGGCGTTTTTTTTTTCCTTCCGTATCATACTTCTGGGGTGGAAAAAGAAAAAATCGTGATCAAATTCTTGTGGTTTCGCTAGTTAAAGAGATGGGAGAGGCGTGGGATTCAGCTGCTGAGGAGAAGCTTTCTCCTTCCTCTGCTCTAGAGCCGCATTACTCCAGAAATTGAATCGCACGCTGGTTTAAAAAAAAAAAGGAAAAAAAAAAAAAGGGGGGGGGGGAATGGGGAAAAAAAAAAAAAAGAAAAAGAAAGAAGAAAAGAAATTAGCCTGACTTTCTCTTAAGGAGATTCATAATTAAGAATCCGCGCGTGCGATGCGCGCTGAGGAAGCGCCGGACTTGGGTTTCTTTGCCTTTGGCACCGCGCTGATGCCTCGGTGATTTTGCAGCCGGGCTGAGGTAACCTGCGAGCTCCTTTCTAAAGCGGAGAATTATTTATTTAAAAATCCCTCTTTTTTTCCCCCCCCCTTTTTTTTTTGCCCCCTCCTCGGCGGGGCTGCGGCGCGTTCCGCGCGGAGCGGGGCGGGGGGCCCGATCCCCTCCGGTGCCCGGCTTGTCCGTCGGGGCTGATTTCAAGGCATTTCTCCCAAAGGGGACTGGAGATCTCCAGCATTTATCAAGGCGAAACATACCTTAGGAAACCATGGAGATGGGCGGTGGAAAAAAAAAAAAAAAAAAAAAAAAAAAAAAAAAAAAAAAAAAAGGAGGAAAGCGCGAAATTCTGCCCGGCTCCTTTAAGTGGTTATTTCTTGGCTGATTGATGCTTGGTGTATTTTTCCCCCCTTTTTTTTTTTAATCTATTGCTCTCTGCTCCCGGGAGAGAGAAGGGGTCTCTCTTTTTGCGGCTAATGGAGCGGAGAGGTTAAAAATAAATGAAATTAATAGAACTGATTCAAAGGGGGAGTCTCCACCCGGCTGCGCAGGTAGCGCTCGCAGCCTCCGCGGCCGCGTGGGAAAGCGCCGCTTCCCGCCCCTCCCCGCACCCGCCTTAAGATTTGGGGTAAAACTGGGGGGAAATCGCCGTGCCGCGGCAGCGAGAGCCGCCTCGTCCCGCCAAGGCAGCGGCCAAAACGCGGAGGCTCCGAGCGCTCCTGCGCCCTTATCCGCGCGCCGGAGGAAAAATTCCCAAAAGGGAAAATTCCCCAAAGSGGCAATTTTAAAACTTTATTCATTTTGCCCCCCGTTTTAGCCCGACGAAAGGCAGGTAATTAAATTACTGCGGCGCTGAAGGAATGCTGAAGGAATGAGGGTCTCGGGGTRGCCCTCTCGGCCCCGTTTCTTCGCCGCCGCCCGTTATTTTTTTCCACCTAAAACTTCGGGATTTGGCCCTTGGCGGGAGCGGGTCGGGGAGGGGGGAGCCTCTCTTTATTTTATTGTGCCACAGTCCCCCCAACCTAGGAAAAAAATTCTCGGCGCTGCGCCGGGATTAGGAGCCTTCGGGGGCAATTTGACACCTCGGAAAGAATTTGGAAGAATTTGTCGCCGTGGATTTAATTTTTTTTCCCTGCAGTGTTTTTCTATTTTATTTTATTTTAATTTAATTTTTGAGGGTAGGGGTGGGACGGCGAGGGACGGGAACCAAACGCACTGAGGCCGCTCTGAGCAGAGCGGCCGGGACTAGGGAGGGAGGAAGAGGAGGTAGCGAGGAAGATGCAGTCGAGCCTTTAGTGGAGCGTGGATTTCGTGGCGCAGGGTGTGGGGGGGGTCTCTCGGACAGCGTTTTGCTTTCAAAGAAGTTGAATTTTGGGATAGTGTTGGGGGGGGGGGGAGAAGCCCTTTTCCCCGTGCTTTTTCTCCTGGGAGAGGGTGAGTGAAGGGAGGGGAAAGAGCCCAAGTTTCCAGCGGTTTGGGAGGAAAAAAAAAAAAAAAAAAAAAAAAAAACTCCTTTTACAGCTGCGAACAAAAGGGCCCGCGGGCCCTGGCGTCACGTCCCGCTGCGCGGGGATTCCGGCCCCGCTCCCGCTCGGGGCAGCGGAGCGGCCCGGGGGGCGGCGGCCCCGGGACGGCGGCGCTCGGGGGGGCTCCCGGCGCTGCCGGAGCCCTCGGCGGAGCGCGGGGCTGCGGGAGGCAGAGCTGGAAACCCGCCCCTACACCCACAGCAGAAAAACTCCCCAGGGACAAGAGACCGCAGAGAAGGGCGGCTGATTTTATATTTATCTGTTTATTTATTTATTTATAGATTTATTTTACTGCCCCAGATGCCGCGGGCCGGGTGCACTCTGTATTTTTTTTTTTTTTACGGGCGAATAAACCACTTCTTCGAAGTCTAAAGTTTCTCCTCTCTCCTTCCACCCCGCCCCAATATATATATATATATATATATATATTTATATAAAAGGGAAAGGGGAAAAACTCGAGCTTTCCATGAAAACAGAGCCAAGCCTAGCAATAAATACTATATATATATATATTATATGTGTGTGTGTGTGTATGTACATATATATGCGTGTATATATGTGTGTGTATATATATGTATGTATATATATATAAGCGACGCTATAGACTCTCCTGGGCGGCGGGGAAGCTGCCGCCGCTCATTGGTCGCCGCCGCTGCCGCGGTGCCCCCGTCCCCGGTCACGGATAAAAGCGGGAGCCGGAGCCCGCGAGGCCCCCCCGCCCGGGTCCCCCCCCGCGGGCGCGCAAGTTGGGCGCTCCGATAACTCCCTAGCGCATCCTCCGAGAGGCACCAACCAGGGAGGGAAGGAGGCAAAGGGGGGAAAAAAAAAAAAAAATAGTATCTAGAGCTTATTTCTCATCTACCGCTGCTCTCTTCTGCCAACAGTAGCAATTCACTTAACATCTATGACTCAGTTTCGTGGAAAAAAAAAAAAAAAGAAGAAAAAAAAAAAGCAATAACAAAATAAAGCAGGGGGGAGCAGAGTCCCCCCCGTCCTCCTTCCCCYCCACCCTGTGTCCTTAAGCCCAGCCCAGCGCGAGGCACCTTCGCCTCGCTCCGCCGCTCCGCGCTACATTCCTGCGGAGCGCCCGAGCCCCGAAACTTCCAGGAGCGCTTGGGGTGGGTGCCTCCTTCTCCCCCCCTCCCCGTTTTTTAATTCTTTTTCCCTCCCCCACCCCAAAACCCCACCTCCCCCCACCCCACCCCCCTTTTTGGAGGGGGTTTTTTTTTTTTTTTGAGCAAAGATTTCTCCCCTTGTTTTGCAGCCGCGGGGGCTGGAAGAGAGAGGAAGAGAGAGGAAGAGGAGGGCGCTCCGCGGCGGCGCTGGGCGAGGGGCGCTCCGCGCCATGGCCGCGCTGCCCGGCACGGTGCCGCGCATGATGCGCCCGGCGCCGGGGCAGAACTACCCGCGCACCGGCTTCCCGCTGGAAGGTACGTGCGGGGAGCGCGCGGCGCGCTCATTAAGCGCCTCTTCATTAGGGAAATCATTAAAGAGAGGCGGCTTGGAAGGGGGGCGAGGGCAACGCGAAGTCCGCGCGGCTCCGCGCTCGGGCGCCCAACTTCGCGCCGGGTTTTCGCTCCCTTCCCGCGGCAGCTGCCGCTGCTCCCCGCCCGCATCGCCTCCGCTTGCSTTTAGTTTCTCTTTCCCCGCTTTTAATTAGTTCTCCGCAGCAGCTGACATTTTTTAACAGGTTCTCATGTTCTTTTTTGATTATTATTTTTTTTACCCTCCCCGACAAATGTCCAAATTTCTCCCCTCCAAAGACGAAGCGRGAGAGGGGAGTGGGGGAAATAACCCGGCAAACTTTATTGTTTGCAACTTTCCCCGGCGAGAAGCGGCCGCAGCTGCTGCCGGCGGGGGCAGCTGCGCGGCGCCCGCCCGGGGTGGCCTCGCTCGGGGACACGCAGGGCAGCGGAGCGGGGACGGGGGGGCACTTGGGGCTGCAGAGAGCGGCCCCGGGGGCTGTCCCGGCGCTCAGTGTCACCCCAGCTCGGCAGCAACTTCCCGAGCCGGCTGCTCGGCCCTTTGTGGGCGCCCGGCGCTGCCGCTCGCAGCATCTCTGCGGGGTGGGGAAGAAAAGAAAAAGATTTAAGAAAGAAAGAAAGAAAAAAAAAAGGTAAATTAGAGTAAGACCCGGCTTTCCGCATGTATTAAACACGCGGGATTCATACGGGCCGTGCTCAAGTGGCTAAACTCAAACCCGCGGCCAGCCACGGCGGCTGCAAAACACACAAGCCGCGGGGATTTGCTCAAGTGCTTTTCTGTAGCAAATGAAGTAAAACAGGCGGCAAGGGAAAGGATCAAAGGATTACAACAATATTTGCACAACATGCCTGCGAATAATGAAGCGGGGGAGCGGCCGCCGATTTTAGCACCTCTTGAATGTGAAATGGGCCACTCGAGGGCTCTGCGGCGCGATGACAGCCCCGCGGAGCGGCGGCCGAGCCACTGGCAATTAGTGCTGCGTGATTCTTATTAAATCGCGAGGCAATTTCTGCAAACGACTTGTCTTCGTATAGAGAAAAGCAGCCCCTCGCCTTAGCCGTCCCTCGCCCCCTCCAGCCCTTCTGCAAATTATGCAGCTGATCTTCCCTCTTTCCCCGCTTCTTACCGTCTCTTTTTTTTTCTTTTTCTTATTTTTTTTTAATTTGGAGACTGTGAAATCGAATTAATCTGCAAGATCTACGCGGCGAGATATTAAACAAATTGGGCGACGCGAGCGGGGCGTTAGGGACATGCAGGGGACCCTGCCGGGCCGCTCGCATCGCGCTCCCCTCCGAGCCCCGGGGAAAAATAATACAATTTTTTTTTAAAAAAAATATATATATAAAATAAAAATAAAAAGAGGAAAAAAAAAACCCAGATCATGTGTGGGGGGAGAGTCTCCAAGTATATTTAGACCAACTCTTTCCAAAACTTTGTTTGAATATAATTGCCCTCCCCTCGACCCCTTCGCCCGGCGGTGCCCAGAACCTGGAGTTTGCCCTGCAGGGCGCTGGGAAACTTTTAATTTTCGGCTTGTCCCTTGCGGTTTTTTGGGGGCCTGCGCCCGGCGGCTGACATTGAAAACGGCAGGTGAAAATAATAACARTAATAATAAAAAGGAGAAAGCRAGAAGTGCACGGGAGGGGAGATGGAATAAATATACTGAGGTCTTGGGCGATGGGGATTTTTAGTGTCCACCTAAAATAAGTCTCCTTCTAATGCGGGCTGGGGCCTTGGGTTGATGGGATGGGACGGGGATGGGAAAGGGGGGCTGTGCAGGTGCGACGCGCGGAGAGGAACGAGCCCCTCACCTTATCACTATTATCACTATTATCACTATTATCACTATTATCACTATTATCACTATTATCACTATTATCACTATTATCACTATTACCCTCCCCGGCCGGCCCGCAGTGTCCACGCCGCTGGGCCAGGGCCGCGTGAACCAGCTGGGCGGCGTGTTCATCAACGGGCGCCCGCTGCCCAACCACATCCGCCACAAGATCGTGGAGATGGCGCATCACGGCATCCGGCCCTGCGTGATCTCCCGCCAGCTGCGCGTGTCCCACGGCTGCGTCTCCAAGATCCTCTGCCGCTACCAGGAGACGGGCTCCATCCGGCCCGGCGCCATCGGCGGCTCCAAGCCCAGGGTGAGTCCCGCGCCCGCCTCTCCTCCCTTCTCTCAACGCCACATTTTCCCCATTTTTTAAAAATTAATTTCTTTTGGCGGCGGGGGGGGGGGGGACGCAGCTGCGAGTTGCAGGTTGCGAATAAATCGGCGTTTTTTTTTTCCCCTCTGCAACAAGTGGCCCCTGCTGCTGTTCTGCGGATATGACCGCCTTAGAGAGTAATAAATATGGGAATCTATTTATTACTTTTTATTATAGCCCCTCTCCATYCCCCCTCCATTTATTATAACCCCCCAAAACATCCCTTGTCCCCGTCCCCCGCCCTCGCCCCGTCTCCTTAGGGATGGGGATGAACCCAACTCAATCACTTTTCCCCCTTCCCTGCTCTCCGCGTGGGTTTGGGGAAGACGGGAGCGCTTTTGGTTTCTTGCTCTTTGCCAATGCTTTTTTTCTTAAGACTCCGAATTAAGGGCTGGGAGCGAGAACTAAATTAGTTCTTAACGAGGTCCCAGCTTGGTTTGTAAATTAAAAGCGGTGTTTTTTCCCCCTCTGTCCCCTCTCCCCAACCTTGATCCCAAAAGCAGGTCGCCACTCCCGACGTGGAGAAGAAAATCGAGGAATATAAACGGGAGAACCCCGGGATGTTCAGTTGGGAGATCCGCGACCGGCTGCTCAAGGACGGGCACTGCGACCGCAGCACGGTGCCCTCAGGTGAGAAGGCTGCTTGGCCGCAGGGAAGGCGGAAAATGGGAAGAAAATATAAATAAAAAGAGAGAGGGTGCAAGTCTYTTTTTWAAAAAATATATTTTGCATATATAGCCAAAGAAATCCCGCAGCAGCAAGTTATCCTTCCGCAACTGGAGTTTTCCCCGCTGGCAAACGTGTTTTCCTGACTTATCCCGAATACGGGAGTGTCCTGGGATGCTCGGTGCTCCCCTCGGGATATTTTGTGCACAGGGGGATGCAGAGAGGGGCGGTATACAGAAAGCGACTTTGCACCCCCAAAATGAGCATGTGGGGTCCCATGGCGGAGGCTTTTTTGAGGTGGGGGGTGGCGCATAATGAGGGGGCTCCTAAGGGCTGCTCGCATGGCTCGTGGGGCAGTGGGAGTCTCGGCCGGGGGAGGGTCCCGCCCTGGTGAGCCTCAGGCCCGGGGATTTTGGGGAGTCCCCAGCCTGGGGGTGTCCCGTGAGATCCCCCCCGCCGCCGTTGTGCAGGCAGCTTATACTCGCCTTCCTGCCTTTGACTGTCTGAGGTTTAGTGAGTTCGATTAGCCGGGTGCTACGCATCAAATTCGGGAAGAAAGAGGAAGAGGAGGATTGCGACAAGAAGGAGGAGGACGGCGAGAAGAAAGCCAAGCACAGCATCGACGGCATCCTGGGCGACAAAGGTAACGGGGCCGGGGGCGCCCGCGGCCGGCGCTGGGGAGGGGGCGCCCAGCGCGGGGCGAGGGCGGCCCTGGGATGCGCGGCGGATCCATCGCTTTTAAACGGGAGAAGGGAAGCGGCGGGGGGAGCCTCTCGGGTTCCTAAATGAATTTGTTAACCAGATTTCCCGGCCGCTCTCTAAGTGGTCCCCTGAAACTGCGCTGACAGGTGACCGATCTGGCCAATCAATATCAATTAGCGGGGCCGGGATCTGCGCTGCGGAGCGGCCCGGGGGTGGGAAAGGGCGCCGRGGGGGAAGGGGGTGTCCCTCGCATCCCGGCATCAAAAGAGCTGCCCCCCTCCCTTACAGAAAAACCATTAACAGGCCGGGGGGGGTGGTGGTTTCTCCCGCGGTTTGCGGRAAAAGGAGGGAACTCGGCGCAAGAGGCAGTGCTCGTGGCTGCCGTTTCGGTGGGGGACGCTTAAAACGGGAGGGGACTGCAAGATCAAACCGGGGTGGGGCGACGAGGGGAGCGAAGTGGGAAGTTTGGGAGGGAAGAGCTGCCGGCGGACTTGAACTTTGGCGTTTCTTTCCCGGTGAAATTGAGTTCTTGCAAATTGTCCCTCCTCTCTCTCCCCCGCCTTAAAAAATAATAATAATAATAATAATAATGGTGCGGAGTTGCGGAGTGGGGTGTTTTATGTAAGGGACAATTTAAGCTTTAGTGATGGAAGCGTCTGCGCGCGCGGCGGGGCGTAAGGAAGGGACGAGGGAGCCGCTGCCGTGAGTTGGGCAGAAAACGGGCATTTACTGCCCCGCGCTGACGAAGCGGGCGCTTTTCTGCAGGAGAAAGGGCGAAGGTAGAAGTGCCGGGGAAGGACCGGGATTTCCCTGGCTGGGGAAAAATGGCGATTGTTCGGGATTGTCTTTTTTGGTGCTTTGATTAAAAAAAAAAAAAATTGGGGGGTATATTTTCGAATATTTGCGCAGAGGTCGGTGTCGAGCCGAGCAATCGGAGCGGAGATGTCATATACAAAGACACACAYATATATGTATATATATATTTGATTTTTTTTTTTGAGGCCCAAGGGCCAGATCCGGATTCAAGTTCTCCCCTCCCTGCCCCTGTTCGCAAAGTTTCCCCCTCTCCGGAGCATTGCGAGCGTGTAGCGATAGGGAAGCGCGGCGATTTGGGGAGGTTTTTTTTGAATGGGGGACAGAGAGAAGCCGTCCCGTGTCSCCAGCAAACCTGAGGCTGCGGATGAAGGTGCAAAAAAAAGGTGGGGGGAGATCAAGAGTCCGATTCCCCTTCCTTTTTTTTTTTTCTTTCCCCCTCTTCCAACCTTGAAGATGAACTTCACTTTACAAAAACCTTCGAGGCCATTGAAGCTTTATAAGCAAAAAAGATTCCTGCCCACAAAAGCAAACAGTGGAAGGGGGGAAAAAAGAAAAAAAAAAAGTAGGAAAAAAAAGGGGGGGAACCCGAGGCTGCCTTAAAAATGGAGTAAAGGGATGGGGGAGGGAGGGCTTGTCTATTCTCATTCAAAAATGGGCGAGGAGGAGAAAAAGTTAGCACAAAGGGCCGAGGAAGGGAAGAAAGGGAGATAAATTATTCAAAACTCCCTGCTGTTAGATAGTTTTGTAATATTATCGGACCGTCTGTTGGGAAAAAAGGAGAGCCGTTGGACGTGGCAAAATGGTGCTTGTGATTCGGGAGCGGGCAGCGCTGCTTTGCAAATCGGGGCCATTGTGGCCCCAAAACATCCGCCCCCCCCTCACCCCCCCAGCAGCATCAGGTTGTGGATTTTTTTTTTTTTTTTTTTTTTTTTTTTTTTTTTTTTTTTTTTTTTTTTTTTTTTTTTTTTGGGGGGAGTTTTTTTTTTTTTTTATGTAGGGTTCGGCGCTTGGGGAAAAAAAACAAAGTTATTATTTTAAATGTAAAAATGACTTCCACCCCCCTTCTTGCCCATCCTTTCTACGTSTCCCCCCTCCCCCCCCCAAAAAAAAACAAAAAAAAAAGAAGAAAGACCAAAACAAACAATGAAAAGCAGGGAATCTTCGGGGTTTTTAGTCCTTGCTAATGCGCAGAAACGCGTGGCCATCAGGGAAACACCCCGGAAGACACCACGGGCAGCGCGAGCGCCCAGGTCGTCCCGAACCCGCTTTAAAGCGAGAGCACCCCATCCCAGTAGAGAAATCGCCGATTTGGGGCTCTTTTTGTTTCTTTTCTTCTCCAAAATCTTGTGCCGACGTGTAGATAAGAAAAGGAGCGGGGGGGAGCTCGAAAGTCTTTGGAGAGGGTGAAAAGTGGGAGCGGGTGCCGAGGGGAGAAGCGGATCCTGATGCCGTTCGAGCGCTCGCAGCAATCTTGCCCCGTTTCCCCCCAGAAGGCAGCCAAAAACACCCTAAGGACGGGTATTTTGACCCCGGCAGAAGTTTTAACGCCCCCATTAAGGTAGCTAATGACCTCCGTTAAGTTGTAAAGCGCGAAGAGCGCCCGGGGTGGGGGGTGGGGATGGGAGAATGACCCCCTCAGCCCCCCCCGAGCGAAGCTCCCACTTGTCCCGGCCGCGCTTCATCCGCGCCGCCTCCCACTGCAACGYCGTTAGTTTGATGTTTTTTAATAAATATATATATACACATATATATATTTCAGGGTGGGAGGAGAGAAAGGGAGAAAAAGGTGTGCGGCGGTGGTGGGGGAGACGCATCGGGTGCTTTGCTGCTGCCGAATGGGCTCCGTTTCGGGGGGCTCCTCGCGGGGAGCCGGGGGAAGCCAGCCCTAAACGCTCGCTCTTTTTAAGCGTCAAAAGAAGCTTCCACCCCGCGCCTGGTTCCTTCTATCGTCTGCTTGGCATTTAATAATGTTAAGACTTATTAGAGCTGGTAATGAAAACTGTGGCTCTTGAATAGGGAGCTGTGTTGGAGAAGGGTGTAATAGCTCCAAGGCATGCTAAGAAATGTATTTATCCCCAATCAGTACTCACTCTCTGAGTTCCAAGCACAAACGTTAAGTTGAAGGGTTTTAAGGCAGATTAAATTGAGCCTTTATTTCTTTGCACTTTCATCTTTAAACGGCTTCACTCCGGCTCGCCCTGGGCGTATATTCATGAGGCTCCACTTTATTTATTTTTTTCCCCTCCTTATCCTTGTTAAGAGCGAGTTATTATTATTATTATTATTATTGTTATTATTGGGGTTGTTGTTATTTGGTGTGGCTTCTGGGGTTTATTAGGGAGGGTCACACGTGGGGGGGGGCTGCCTTTTTCCCCCCCTCCCTATCCGCCCTCTTATTTGGGGGGGAAGGGGGAAGATTGGSTTGGGAGGTGATTTGGACTCCCCTCCTTTCCCCAAATCCGGGGGGTTTGGGGGAAAAAGGTGCCCAAGGGAGTAAACTGGGGATGGGGAGGGTCCAGCTTAAATCGCAGCCTGGCGGGTTCCCACGCGCGGGGCTGCGTTTCTCCCGACCAGGCGCGGGAAGCGGTAGAAAAACACCCGCCCGCGCGGGTGAATATCGCGCAGGGTGTCAAAGTCGGGAAACGGGAGAATGGCAAACGATATTATTATGATCATCGTGATTATTATGATTATTATCTATTAGGGACGGGGAGGGGGAAAGGTGCCCAGGTGCGAACAGCAGCGGGGCGGGCGAGGGGAGGAGGAATGTCCAGCCGCTTCCAATTTAATTTGCTGGTTGCCACTCGCTTACCTATCTATTTATTTATCTATTTATGTTATTTATTTCCCGGGGGGCGATGGGGGTATAGGGAGCAATTCGGCGGGGAGGGGGAGATGGGGTATAAAAACAACCTCCCGACCCCTTTCTCCACCCCCCCCCGGCCCAGGTTGTGGTCWCACATCGCTTGGTGTCCCCAGCGATGGGGACAGCGGGGAGGGGGGCCGGGGGGTATCAAGGCGGTTTATCAGCAAACAATCTCGAGTTAAAACCAACAAGCGCCTTCTCTGTCAATGTGTGTTTAGGACGGAGGCGTGGGGGGGCCGGGGGGAAGAGACACTTCATCAAATGAAGGGATTACGCGGGGCTGGCAATCTAATCAAACGGAGCCCAGGCGGGATTTGCGAGCGCGGCGCGCGGAGCAGCGCGGGGAACGGGGGGCAGGAGGGAGCCGCGCTCGTGTCAAGCAATTCCCGGGGCGGGGGGGGCGCCGGCGGCCCCCCGAAAAGCGGCGCGGACCCACGGGGACCACGAGGAGCGCGGAGAGGGCGACAGGAGCACGCGGGGGATGCGCCGAGGGACCCGTCAAAGGGCTGGGGGGGGCGAGGCGCGACCCAACACGGGCCGTTGTGTGGGGACAAAAAAAAAAAGGAGAAACGAGCGAAGTTGAGGATGCGGGGAGGGAAGTT